ATTAATAACTTTTTTATACAAATTGATATAAGAAAGAAATAATTTTATCATATGTACAATATATTGAAAGATATAATATATGGTAGAAATTCAAAACCAAAAAATGAATTTATATAAACACAATCTAATATTAAAGTGAATTTTGAATTTCAATCATTAAACAATAAAGTTTAATCATGATATAATTAATAACCATGATATAGATTGATTTTGGTCTTCAATGTAAAAAAAAAAAAAAGCATATATAAAGAATTTTAAAAAAATAAATTACATAGGATACATACACAAGTAGGAGAATAGTGTTTATCATAATCTATTCAAATCATTCAATTTTTTATATAGAATAATTTATTAGATTTTATTATAGTAGTTATTTTTTGAATAACAAGATTTTTTTTTACTAATTATAAATGGTTTTCATTAAATATATAAAACACATATAGATAATATAATATAATGTAATATAATACATATATAATTAAATTGCATATCTTATCAATATTAATTGAAAATAAATTTAAAAAATTATTTATACAAAAATTATTTATGATTTAAAATTCAAAATTAGTGTCATTGGAAATTAAAATTATATTAAAAATAAAACATCATAAAAGAAATAGTAAAATAAATATTTAAAAATTATTTTGCCATTAAAATAGTTATGATTAAAATTATGATATAGTTTATTTTTAGTTTTTAATAATATATATGTATATATAATTGTTTGTGTAAAAGAATATTATATATATTTATTTAATGTTGCATAGTAAGTCAACAAGTTCATTGCAACCTAACTGGTAAAGCCGCACAGGCGCACAGACGAGGTCCCAAGTTTGAGCCATGGAAAAGTCATTTTGATGATGAATTATGTGGTGATGACATGTGGCGTCATAAGGTGACATGTGAGATTGCAGCATACATGACAGGCATAGGTGAGGTGGTAGGGACATGTGGCAGTGGTCATCGGCGATGATGTGGTGACTAGTTGAGGTGCCACGTGACATTTAAAAATTTTTTTTAAAAAATCGGGTTAGAAATTTTGTCGCTAATTATTGACGGAAATTTTTCGTCGCTAATTCGATTTCGTTGCTAAATTCCGTCGATAATCCTATGTTTTTTTGTAATGCTTTGGGAAAAAATATATAAATATGAGAGATAAAATAGATTAGGATCTTATTGTTAGGACCAAAATAAAAGACGAGGTCTTATATTATTTTCTAAATTATATTTACAAAAATTCAGTAATCTCTGCACAATATATAAATAATATCCATTTTTTTTTGTTTGAGTATGATATGTAATCATTTTCTGATAACCCTCTGTCGAATCACGGTACAGGTGCGTCGCTTCGTTTGAATTTTCAATTGGATTTTAGTGCTTATGTGATTTTTCATCTGGTTAGATTCTTTTATTATAGTTTTCCTGAAGATATGAAATTTACCAGGTGGATGAGTGATGGAGGCTTCCAGATGGGATGCTTAGTTGCTAACAGGGGTTCTTAAATCTTCCCGGTGGGATGCTTCATTTATAGTTCCCAGGGAAATAATTTTCCTTTTCTAAAAGATCCATATTTTGAAGTGATGAGTTAACAATCTAAACGCGATCTTGGATTGTTAGGCAGGAAAAGTCATGGCTTGATTTTGTCCGAGGCGTGATTTTGATGGCGTAGCAGAAGTTACCGCATTCTTCATGCTATGTTTGTTAGCTGAATGAACTTTTACCGGTTGATTTTATCATATGATACATTTTAGTCTAATATCATTTGTCTCTTGCTCATAGCATTTTTGGACGATTGTGAAAGCCTTATTATATACTACCTCTGGTCCTTAATATAAAAGCTCGTTTAACTTTTATTTTGGTCCTAAAATCCACTTTGTGTTTCATATTTATTCGTTTTTTTCGAAGTAGTTATTGTAATAATAGTAGTTCTAGCCAATATACTTGATTAGTAATTTTATTTTAGAAAAAACAACATCTACTTATTACAACTAACTTAACTGGTTTTTTTAGTCTACTCAAATTAGTCAACTAGTTTTTATATTAAGGACCAGAGGTGGTATTTTCAAGTTCTTTCTGACCAAGAGTTTACTGATTAATGGAAGCTCTGCAATCAACTATCCCTTGGATTATTATTTTTCTGAATTGATGCATTATGTTTGCACTATATGTCTTATGTTCTTTTCAGAGTCTTTTGATTAAAGGCATATATATTGCTTTCATGGTTGAACGTGAATTATTTGGTTTGTTTTTAGACATCTTGGGTAATGGCATCTTCAGAGCAGTTAACCCCAGCTCAAAATCATCATGCAGCTCATATCCCATGTGTATTCTCCTGATGCTGCAGAATGCAGCGTATCTGAATATAGAAGGAAAATCAACTTGATATGCTACCTTTGGTCTTTAATATAAGAGCTAGTTGACTAATTTGAATGAATTAAGAAAACTAGTTAAGTTAGTTATTTGTAATAAATAAGTATTGTTTTTCCTAAAATATCCTTGCTAATCAATTGTATTGGTTAGAATTATCATTATTATAAAGACTACCTGAAAAAATTGAATAATTATGAGAGAAAAAGTGAATTAAGATTTTATATTTTGGACTAAAATAAAAATCAAATGAGATCTTATATTAAAGACCGGAGGTAGCATTACTCAAGTTGCGAAGCTAACTTGAGTCATATTTTTGTTGGTGTATGTATGATCAAGGAGCTTTATCATACGATAAATACAGAGGCGGCTAGAAAAATGACGCTTGCTCAATGAAGATTTCTTGCTCTTACAACTTGAAACTTTTTATATTTGTTTTCTTGAATTGAAATATGAAATGTTGAGGGGGGTTTTCCTTCGTGTTTCACTGGACTGCATGCAATTATATTTATTTTTCAACATATTTACTAAATATAGATGCTAGGAAAAAGTTTTCTTTAGCAATGAAAAAAGGAATATTTTTATTTTGTTACTTAAATTTCGAGAGGAAAAAAAACTAGTGAGATTGAAGTAAATATTGGTGAAGGTGGGAAGAGAATGAACAGTAGTAGTTGCTGGGCAAGGACACGTGGTTTTATAGGATATGTTAGTGATGATTGAGGAAGAAGTTGCTTTCTTCGTAAACTACCAATGATATAACTCGCTTTATACCTCATATAATGTATATATCTATTCGGAAAAAGAGTACAAATAGCTCTAGCAACATGAAAGTTTTCCATCTAATTCATTATATAATGATCTTAATGACGCGTTTTGGGTTAATTAAAGGTGAAAATGAAATTGAAGATAGGGATGCGTGTGAAGTGAACTCTAGCAACTCAAGTTTTCCATCTAAATCATAATGTTAATGATGCATAGGGTTGATTAAATTATGTGAACATGAAATTGAAGATAAAAATGAGTTTGGAATCAAAATAAGACATTCACAAGGGTCCGCTCCAAGTTAAAGATACATGTGAATGGAGCAATTATTAGATCAGTCTATTGGTCGTCCTGTGTCATTCTATATTGCCTTGAATGTGATGCAGATTGGAGGAATCTTTGACGGCTTGGGTGACCAGATTTTTTTTTCCTAGTAAAAAAGTATTTGGGTGAAAACCAAACCATAATTTTAAAAGTATTTTTATGATATATATAAACTAAATATGTGAAGAAGTTTGTCTCATTTTACGGAATAGTGTTTTTGAAAAGCACTTTTTCATATTACCAAATACCTCTAAATTAGTTATTTCAATGTGCCCATCGATTCAATTTTCTGTAGTGGTGTAGTGGTATTGATTGTTGATTTTTTGGGTTATGGGAATAGAGATTAATTTTGTTGCCAGGACACTAAGAAATTGTTTCGAATGGTAATTGAAGCATTTATGGATAATTTTTCAGTAAAAGGAGTTCCGGTTATGTGAATTTATATCCGACGCACAATAGACATAACTTCAGTTAATTTTCACAATAAACATAAAGATATTTGAGTAGATTTCACTACCCGCCTAACATCAAATGCCAAAAATTCTTTTATATATATAAAAGAATATCACATCACAAATTAACTTTTAAATTTTGTGACGAAGTTATATGAGAAAGCCGAATGATGATGGACTTTAGACTCCTCTGAGTTATGGAATCACCGCAAATTATTGGATGACCCATGCCTAACTCTCCACTAGAAGAACAAAGTTGAATCAAGAATTTCTTACAGTGGTTGTGGAAAATTGGAGAAGTACGCATTGAAATTCCAGAAATTCAGTTGGTTGAGCAAATAAAATAACCTCCATTGAAATTCCAGAAAATTTAGTTATAAAGGATAGTATAGACCCCTCTAAGCCGTTGTGAACTCCACATATCCAAATGACATATCCCTTATTATAAACTTCAAATAACTAATTTACAAATAACGAATATTAGTTAAAATTAGTTTAAAATAATAAATAGGTTAAAAATATACTTACGTTTCCAAATATATCTTTATAATAGATGAGAAAAAGGACGAAAGAGAATATATGGGTAAATGTTACAAGAGATTATGACAAAAAAGAGAGAATAAATAATTAACAGCAAAGTTTAAAAAAATACATTAAATATTAAAATAAACCCAAATTGAAGCTTATAGAATGGACTACATCTCTTCCTAAATTAGAAGCTTATAAATAAGATTGGAGGGAGTATTATTTAATAGAATCAGTCAATTGAATATTCAAATACTATCTTCTTTAGACTTGAAATGTCTCTAGATTTCACAATCTCTTCTCACTTATTCATCTAATCATTTTATTCATTAGTATGATAAATTCATTACTTCCAGAACTTACATCTAACTTAAAAGACAATCGAGAATGCATCACCTCCTGCATCGCACGGGTACGGCGTCTAGTTATAGCCAAAATAAAAGTAATTAAATAATCTTAAGGTTCTGACTTGTAAAGACAACATAATCATTTGGGCTAAAACTAAATGTAATCTAACTGCAAGAAGTCCTAAATATAAGGTTAAGAGGGAAAAGAAAGATTAAAAAAACCAAAAACATGTGTCCTTCACAGCGGATAAAGAACGATCCATAAAATCAGTCACCAGACACATATGACTTATCCTCGTAGTATCTGTTCTCACTCTCTCCCTTCTTTTCATTGCGCTTCTGCATGCATAATGGAAAATAATAATGACAACGGTACTAGGACGAAAATTGTAAGCAAATGACATGAGGAAACAATACATAATAAAAACATGATACATTGATGGAAAAAATAACTGCGATGATGAGATCCTGTGAGGTAAATAAGGGACAATAGGAAATGAACAAACTGAAAATCACTGAGATTCCAACAAAAATTAGAGGGAGAAGAGGAAAAAATTAGAATAAAAAGATTATTTGATTCGTCAGTCTCCCAATTAAAAAAGAGGAAATACCCGAGATAGATGGACAATTCATGGAAAGTTACAATCATCACTGTAGAAGTGCATCTAACATCTTTCCTTTTTAAACATGCAAGTGCTAGTTGTTGAGATCTGCGGTAATCTGGACAGATGCTTCCTGAATAAATGGGTTCCTATGAGTGCATGCATGACAGAAGGATGCATTAAATCCTTCTTTCTTTAGTAATTCTAAAGTCGCCTCTATATTGTGGTGCCAAGCAGCTTGGTAGTTTGCCAGGCTCAAAACTTCTTAAGGTCTCAAGTTCAAATCCTATTTCTGCAAGAATTCAATTCAAGAAAAAGAAGCACACACAAAAAAGGGACCAATGGTATCACAAATGCACAGAGAGATGCGCACCTTGATCAGAACCTAAGTAACAGAATAGCATAAAAAATAATATGCTTGAATGCAAAACGGACGGAAAAAGATAATTACCTGGTAAGCCTCATGATTTGCTACAATCCTTCCATTTATTGTTGTGATATCTAGAGGACTTTCAAGGATTTGGAAGATGCCCATGCTGATGGGAACAGCATATGGATTGCTATTTTCCTGTATGAAAACCAATCTCAGTGGCCACCTAAATGGTGTAATTCTATATCTGACAAAAGCAAGTTATTGCCTTCTGTTGGCACCAGGGTTGAAATCTATAAGGACCGGAGACTGATTTGGTTAAAAAATGAAGGGTGACCGAATCTGGAAAGCATTCCAGATCTGGCATGAATAATTACTGACCCAAATCTTCCTTTAATCCCCAGATTTCTTGCAACGGATACTTTTTCTTTTTCTCTTTTTTTCACTTTCTCACCTTCTTTCGTTTATAGTTAAGCTTTTATTACCCAAATTATTGTGTTTTATTTTCTTCTTTCTTCCCTTATCTGGAGCATGCCCTGCGTGCTATCCTCTTGCTCTGGTAACTATTTATTTTTCGGTTCTTGCCCTCTGTAATTCAGATTATTCACAATAAAATAAGAGTATTTTTCCCTGAAACTTTTCCTTCAACAGCAACAAAAGCAGAGAACTGTACATAGATCAGAATTTGGTATAAATTGTGCAACCTTGCCTTCTGAAAATCATTATTTTCTGCTATGGTACCATGGACAACTAATGAGATGTTAAATGTTGTGATCTGCACTCAACAGAAATTCAACAATCAGTGCATCACAATAATGGATGTATGAGTAATTACTTAACTACTACTTCTAAAAATATTATAGACAGAAAAGCATTAAAATCAAAATATTATAAAAAGAAAAGCATTAACACTTGATATTGAACCAGAGATCTCTTCAAACAAGGCCAAAATAGCAGCTGCATCTTTGCTACTGAACCTAGCAAGACCAACGCAACTCAGCATTTAGAAGACATGTTTTGCAGCTTTGCTGACAATAATCAAAACATGTCTATTGTCAAACATGCATAAAATAAGCTAACTCACGTGCTGGTTTCATCCCAAGAAAAGGGATATGTTATGAAAGAATGGAAGGACTGTAGTTCCCTCAGGCCCTCCTGCCATACTTATTTTCTCTGGCATTTAAAATAGCCTAACAGTGGCTCAAAACTCAAAAACATGGGAAAAGAAAGATGTCATGAACTAGGTGCCATTCAGTTTACAGTTTAATAGCTTACATAGATTCATAATAGATAGACATCAATTCAATTATTCTCTCCATTAAATGATCATTGATCAAAACAATATTACCCATATGAACAAAGAAAGATTCCAAAATAATTGAACTACGGAGTTTAAGAACTAACCATATCCTTTGAAATCTCCCATGGTGCTCCAATTATAACCTCGTCCACGTGGCGGCATGCTAAAACACTTAGACTTCTCTCATGCAGATTCCTGATTGGGCGATGTGCTCCTCTAGTTGCACTATAAAGCCATTAGCAAAATATGTCAAAATTGTCTAATAATTACTGTATACATGTTTTGACGACGAGAAATCACTTTAAAGAGACAAGGTCCTGGGATAAGACACCAAGGAGGTAAATGACTGACGTTGTTTCTGAATGCCAGGTTGCCACGTATTCAGGTTAAAAATTTGGATGACCGAATGCCATAAAGTAGGCTCCATTGATGACCTAATGCCAGATTGCCAACTATTCAGGGAATTAGATATAATTGTAAGAGTTTATTACTATTAATAAATAGCTATTAAAATTATAAAGTGCATCCATCATCCTGAAGTGCATTCAGTATTCTTAAGTATTTTGTGGTGCATTCGACATCCTAAAGGATGTGGTTAGTACCTTAAATTATATTTTAGTATTTTCAGCACCTTAAAATATTTTTTTAAGTGCACCCATTACCCTAAATTATTTTTTAATGAATCTAGCACCTTAAATTGCTTAGTGTAAAATTGTATTAAAAATATTTTAGAATGCTAAATACATCTTAAAAAATGCTTTAAAGTGTCAGATGCAATACATAATAATTTAAAATACTAGATCCATCTAAAAAAATACTTCATGATGTTAGATGTACTTTCACCATTGAAGTTGTTGAAATTAAATCTCCCAACCCTCTTAGATTAACATACTCATTATAAAAATTCTATCAAGTTTATACATGAAGTCATTAAACATCATCAAATAAAAAAATAATTATAAACTTAACAAAGATCATAAATATTAGATTAATTTTTTGCCGTGAAATATTAGATTAAAATAAAGCTTATGTTGACAACTAAAATAATAATATTATTAGATGCCTTGATCTTCTCTGCAAAAAAATCAAAAAAAAGAAAAAGATAAAATGGGGAAAACAAATGAGAATGTATGTGGTAGTGCAACCTTCCAATAATATAGTACTCTTTTCGTCCCTTATTATAAGATCTAATTTTTTGAATAGATTTGTTTCTTTTTATAAGATCTTTTTTGAATTTGTCTGAACATTTAATGTATTATTACCTATTTTAACCATAGTTTAATGCATTTAATACATTCTCTCTTTTTATTTATCTCACTATTATTCACTCATATCTACCCATTTATATATAGGAATATATTTGGAAAAAAATTACATTTGCTACATATTAATTACTTTTAACTAATTTTAACTATTTTTTTAAATTACACAATTTAGTTAAAAAGATTTTATAATAAGAGACGGAGTAGTACATTTGAAGAGTCAAACTGAACGGTTATTTTCGAGGAATGAGAAAGTAACAATAACGAAAGAGAGAAAATGGCGTTTCGTCAGAAAACGATGAAAAAGCAACAATATGTTTTTGGCTTTTGTGGTGACTATGCATTTATGCTTTGAGTCTTCTTGGTTGGGTCTTATGAGGCTGAATTGGAAAACCAGAATAATGAGTTACCTTGACAAAATTGGAAATGGAAAAAATAAATCTATGTACTATTATTTAGGCACATAATATCATATTTATTATTTAAATTTAAAATTTGGATTGCTTAAAAACTTTAACTCATGATTGATTATTTTTATTTCTATTTAATGGTTAAATTTTTTGAATCTATTTATAATTTTACCCTTGGATTTGATCTATATATTTTTTAAGCTTAAACTTCACTCTTTCTTTACACTGATCTTTAAAAGTTAAGAAATTTTAAAAACAATAACCTTTGAACCTATGATGAATTAGTTATATTTGAATTCATTAGTTGACTATTTTAGATTTATTTTCTACTATATATTCTATATTTTTATTAAGAAGAAAGATTTTAAAATGTTTCACTGGCATGGGCACTCTATTTGACACTTTTTTTAAACTCATTTGACGGTTATTAATAAAGTAAGGTTTAATTGTTAATAAAAAAGCATTCAAATCAGATGATTTTATTTGACAATTATTAAGAAAGAACTGTCAAATAAAATCACATCATTTGACAGTTATTAATCAATAATTGTAAAATATTCTTGAAATATTTGATGCGATCAGAGAATATTTGATGTGTTCTAATTTGACGGTTCGGTTAAATATGATTAAAAGTAACTGCTAAATATTAATAATTAGGAAAATTAGTGAGAAGGACCCAGAAAATATAATATTTAATTTAAAGGATCATAAAAATTATAATTATTTAAAAGAACCAGATAATAACATATAAATTTAAAATTGCTCAATTGCCTCTAACCAAACCTCCTAAATTTCTCTCCCACATTCTGGTTAAAAATTAAAACGACTATGAATTTATAAACTTTATTAAATTAAACAGTATTTCTGTCAAATTTTGTAACTTACTTAAATATCTATTGTATTATTCAGTTACAAAAAAATTAGAATTTTATTTTTAGAATCAGCACAAATTTCGATTGAAATCAAAAGTTAGCCAGTTTTAGTAAAACTTGCGATTCTTTTATAACTTATTATATATGTTAAAAAAAAGGTGACATATGTCTACAAAGTTAAATGAAAAATTGAGTAACTTTAAATAAATAAACAAGAACGCTTGTATAGTTTATTTTTATTTTAGAAGAAATTATGTAATTTTTAAAAAAATAAAAAATACATATAATTTCAATAAAATAGAAAGCAAATAATATATATATCTTTCATGTGAAATTTTGATTACCTCCGCTAGAATTTAGAAAATACTTGTGTATAAGAAAAAAAAAATTGTCAATAAACATTTCCCTGTAATTAAAAATTTTTATGATAAATCACAATAAAAAAAAGTAATAATGAGGTTTTTTTGGGGGGATAATGCATTTTGAACATTTTGATGCACCAATTATTAAGATATATATATATTAAGTAGAAAATTTAATATCTGCTACATTAGTCTATTCTTTGCTTACAGGCTAAACTTTTTTGGGGCGTGCTCCCTTGTTATTTTTGTAAGTGAAATATAATTTTTTTCATCTGCATTAAATCTTTTAATATTTCCTCTTATATTTATCACTTAAGTTTACATAGATAACTAGAAATTTCTCCCCCGTGCGATGCACGGACTAAAATATTTGATTAAATTTTAAATTCTAATAAATTGTATTATTTAAGATAGCTCAAGATTTATTTTTTATAGAAGTATGTTTTTTTTATTCCTTCAGATTGTATTTGAATTCAAGATGTAGAATTTAGGAGAAACATATGAAAACGTAAAATTAATTATTTATCTCTCCATTTAAACCCCAATTGACATATTATTTTATGATACTTCTCATTTAATTTAATATATTCAAATCCCAATTAAGATATTATTAAAATTCAAAATTAATTATTAATTTCTTCATTTGAGCCTCTATTAAAATCTCATTTAATAATGATGCTCCTCATTTAATTCAATATACCCAAATTCCAATCAAAATATTATTCAGATTTTATTATTAATTGAATATATTTAGATCTTATAATATCATACCCGACCCGTTTTAAGGGAATCAGATATTACAAGTTTTCAAGAATATAATTGATTGATGATTGATTGATGATTCTAACAAGATATAAAATAAGTTTGGTTTTTGTTTTGGTGAAAAGACGTTAGCAGACATTAATGTTGATAATATGAATTTAGGCAAAGAAACGTAATGATGAATAAAAAATTGATAAATACTCATGTTAATAATTAAATGAAATATTGATGATATAAATACCAATCTGGATGAGAGAAATGTTGAATTAATAAAGGATATATAAGGACATGGGGATGACGGGTGGTTTTGGTATTAGGTTTAGTTTTTTAAGAAAAACTACAAAGGTAGGACGTAATTTAGGAGGTTTTGTTAGGGGTAATTTATTATTTTTGAATTTATATTTTAGTATTTCGTCCTTCTAAATAATTGTGATTTTTTTGATTCCCTCTAGAAATACTATTTTTTAGGTCCTTCTTCCTAATTTTTCCTAATAATTATGTAGCATTGATTTTATCATTTTGTCGTTTAACGCCTTCCATTTCATGTCCCATCTTCGCCTCTGCCTTTTTCCTTCTCCCTCTCTATATTCTATAACCCAACATCCCTCATTTTCCCTGTATATATAATTAATGAAATTAAAAAAGGATTTTTTTCAACAAAAAAAAAAAAAGTGTGGCACATGGGTGTTTGATATTTAGTAATTAAATTCTTTCCTAATTTTTCAATCACTAATCAATATATTAATAAACCAGAAATCCACAATAAAAATTGGGTACTGATTTGTCATGATAGCAAACAGCTTAATTTGATATTTAGTAATTAAATTCTTTCCTTGAGACTTTATAGTAATTAGGGTTAAGGTGCGCCCAGCACCCCGAACTATTTACCCAGGTGCGTTTAGCTCAAGTAATTTTGGGTACATCCAGCGTCCTAAACTAATTAAAATGGTGCGTTCATATCCCAGGCTAACAGAAATGTTATGTTTAACTGTTATTTTCCTGACTGAGCTTAAAGTTGACCCCAGATATTCTATATGGTAGACACATGGGCACCCGATGTGTATTATTCTTACTCAAAAGTCAATTTATTTAGAAGAAGATGAAGGAAATAAATTCAATTTTGAGTAAGAATAATACATATTAAATGTCTATATGTCTGCCATTTAGAATATCTGAGGTCAACTTTAAGCTGAGTCAGGAAAGTAACAGTTAAACATAACATTTCTGTTAGACTGAGATATGGACGCATCATTTTAATTAGTTTAGGACACTGGATGCACCCAAAATTACTTGAGGCCACTGGACGCACCTGGGTAAATAGTTCAGGGTGCTAGGCGCATCTTAGCCCTAGTAATTATCTCTCTATTTTCTTTTTGGGGTTAGGGGAGGTCAATGATAGCACCAACGTCATAATAGTGTTGCCCTGAAATAAAAAATTCACCAGTATAATATACTCTAGATCAGAACAAGCACAATGGAGGTAAGGTGTCTCAGAAGTTCATAAGCAAAAAGAAATATCAGCCAAGGGGTCTCTCATAAGTTCATAAGCAAAGAGAAATATCAGCCACAGTACCCTAGACAATCCCAGGAAATCATAGCAATAACGGGAATCAAAGAGAGAAATTCCGAAAGCAAAAGGGGGGGGGGGGGGAGAGGGGGACCACAACTTGCTCCAGCACTGGTGACTCAAATGTGTTTGGTTCCTGTCGTGAGGCGTCGTCTTATAGTCTCTAAGGTATGCCATGACTGTGTACAAACA